CTGGGAATTTCACTAAGAAGGGCTCTACTCCATCTTCTCCAGACTTATGTCCAAGCAGCATTGCTGCAGTTTTAGCAAAGACATTATAATACCCACCAAGACAAGCATGCCTAGGAGAGGCTTGAGCCCACCTTCTGCCCTGAACACTAACCTAGCACAGACTGCATGAGCCTCAGAGCTCAACCCGATCTCCCTTCACCATAACACCCTCCTTCAGGATGTCACTCCCCCAGTCTGGCAGATGGAGACTCTCCAGCTTAGCAAAGCCACTTGAAGAGACAATAACGCAAGGACGAAGCAAAATCTCCAGAGCTCTTTAACAGTTAATTATGCAATGTGAGACTTAGCCCTCTGGCCCACAGACCCGGTCTGTATTGTCCCCTCTTGACCAGAATCTATCAAGGCAGAAGTAGGCAAAAGCTTCTGACCACACTTGCTGATGCATTGTTCAATCAAAAGCCTTACCGGGGCTTAACCTGCCTGGCAGACTGGATTAATCCATGGGATACATGTTGGCTATTTCTGGCAAAAACAGACCACAAAGGGTATGAGGGAAACCCGAAGCCTGGAGAATTTCAGTGATGTGCCCAAGTTCAGAAAGGTGAAAGCATTGAACTTACGTCTCCTGATTTGCTGTCCAGCCACAAGACAATGAGGAATACCTAAAGGGGGAAAAAAGACATTGGTATTTCATCCTCTTGCATTAGAGCACGGTCCTGGAGTGGAACACTCAGGACACAAATTAACATGCCAGTACAGTGGCTCTCCAAGCAGGGCCAGTCTGCACCTGGCTTGCCCTCCCAGCAGAACAGCCATCTCCTCCAGAAGATGCAAGTTGAAGGTGGGTTTTAGTCCATACCCTTGCTTCCCTCTTTCTTTCTGGGGTGATAGCTGAAACACTCCTGACTTTGCAAAAACAGCTTGCTCCAGCAGTGTGAACCTCAGAGGTCTTGAAGACAATTCTACCCATCTTAACTGACTACTTAGTAATAGAAGGTGCAATAGTAGTGATGGAATTGAAGGAACTAAGGGAGGACCACCACCTGCCCTCTCTGCCATGGACTCGACACTGTGATTTCATGACACAAAGTGTGAAATATCCCTACCACTTTAATGTGTTCTGCTCCAGTCTTTCTTCAGATCCTGTTTTCCACTTGTGCCCACCCCATTTTTCATGCCAGCACAACTGCTTTGTGAGCCACTGCTTAAATCAAAGCAGGGAACTAAGTCCATTTAAAAAAGAAAAAAAAAAACCCAACCATCCAAATCTATGTGACGAAAAAGTAAAAAATGTTTTTTTAAGCAGGATTGGTTCCCGAATGTCACTGAGATCGACCCCACAAGCAGTCATGCTGACATATCTGATGGCAGGAAAAAGCTGTGGGGGCGTGGGAATACCTTAAGCTCGCTGAACAGCCGCCCAGTGCTTTGTCTTAGGAAATCACAGCCCAAGGAGAGACTGTGCTGTGCTGTTTTCCTGCTCCCCCTCTCTTCCTTTCCCCCCGAACCCGTGGGCCCCCATCACTACCGTGATTACATCCAGTCTGGGACGTACATTTTAATGTGCCGTGTGTATATAAAAGAGAGCTGGAAACAGTGGCTGTCTGAGACCCACCTGACCTTTGGACATACAGCAAACTTCCTGTTCCAGTGCTGCCGGCTCTTTAATCTCCCAGTCCTTAAAAAATAAAAGTGAGCCCATGTGAAAAAATGCTTTGTAATGGGAACTCCTGGAACAACTTTCCTTTCTCGCCCTCTGACTGAGCCATAGAAAACAGTAAATATCTCTCCCAAGAGTCCTTTCTTACAATAGAAAAATGGCAGGCAAAACTTAAGTTTCATTTCCCAGCCTCAGACTCATCAGCAGACAGGCACAAAAGCTTCAGAAAAATAAAACAGCAAGGGGAAAAAAACACTTTTGTTCATTCAGAGTTTGGGGAGAGTTTTGTTGGAGAACAAGCTTCTTTTGGTGGGGAGCAAGTCACACTTGGGAATTGGATTTCTTTTTTTTTGCAGGAGGAAGTGGTCTTGTGCTATATACTTGACAGCAAATTAGCATTGACATTTGACTTGTTTTGATCTTAGCTATTTACAGTGGTATTATCTGTGTATTTTTGACATGCTGTGAAGATTCCCATTGCCAGATGCCTTGCGATGGCTGTAGGATGCAGTGCATTCCACAGTCATTACTCAGGGGTCATAAACCTCACATTATTTGTGGGGAGGAGGGGAGCAGGGAAAAATGGTCTAACAATTAAAAAAAAAAAAAGAAACCTTGGACTTAGATTTCACTGGGCTTGTGTATTTAACTGGAGGAAAATAAAAAAATGCGCTTAAGCTGGCTGGTGCTGTCATACTGTGGGGCTGACTGGAATGGATCCTTCTGAATTTGCTCTACACATGCAAGAGCATTCACGGTGATAATATTCCCATCCGCTCTGCGCTGGGGAAGGCTGTAACGGAGCAAGTGCTCCCTTACACTGCTGGGGCAGAGATCCCCAGCTGGGGAATTGCTGCTTAGGATGGAGATGCCCAGCTGGGGAATTGCTGCTTAGGACCTCCAGAGTCTGGGTTGGCAGGTCATGTCCTGGAGCTGTGTGAGATTCAGGCAGTGGATTTTCAAGAGTCTGGTTCAAAAGGGAGTCTTTGATTTTTTTGGTTTTCTATGGTTAGGAAACTTTTAAGAAAATTTCGAAGGCCAAATCATAGACTTATGCTTGTGATTTTTTTAAGCACATAGTCTATGCACAGACCTTCCTTACTCCCTAATCACGTGGAGATGCCCACGGAGGCTAACAGGAGATGCTCAGGGAGCACCTAACATGGAAGTGCTTGGGGGCTGCAGGCTGGCAGGTGGGCAATGGGGTCCTGTCCCGCATGAGGAAACATCTCCCCGATGTCTGGTTGTCCAGGGGAAGGGGAAATAAGCAGCACAAAACTTTTTTGAAGAAAGGTCTCTCTTAGACTCAGTGTTTGCCTTTCAGATTAACAGGTAGATATTTGAAAACATCCCTGTGTCTTCCTAACTGTTCTCTGGCTCAGGTTTGCCCAGCTCTCCTCACCAGTAGCCTGCACAGCACCATGTGCTGTCAGCCATGGTTTGCTCACAAAGGGCTACCGTTTCCTAAAAAAACTAAGGTTTCTCAGTGCGGGTCCTAAAAAGAGGATAGAAAGTGGGTTATTATGTCCTCATTCATACCTGCTCTGACAGCTCTGAGGGCTGTGAAGCGGCTGGGCAGGAAATGTCTATAAACATGGAGGAACAGAGGAACAAGGGATACTGGAACACATGTCAATCCACTGAAGTCCATGGGCATACATGCCTGTTGAAAATTAGCCTATTAAATGGTCAAAGCAAGGGTCATCTCTACCCTGTACGTACAAATCATCCAGTTCAGGATTAGGGATCTTCCAGCTAGGCACTGCAGCTCTACAGACAGAAAATACCCTGTGTTTAAATACTCCACTGAAGTGGTGCTTCTGTCCTTCACTGAATCCTATTTTCAGCAGTTACAAGAAATGAATCTGATTTTCTGATTTTTATTTGATTTTGTGCCATCTACAGCAAAAACACAATCTCTGGAGTGAGCCATCCAAAGAAAGGAAGCATCTAATTGACACCAGGTCACTTGGCTGGATTTGCCCAAAGAGGCGTTTCTCTTGTGCAAGGTCCAGCACACATAGGACAAAACCTAGGCATGGCTTGGGAAGTGAATGGGGCAGCTATGAACTCTGCTAAAGGCTAACTTCATGGTGGTGTTCCAATTCCCTATCTCTTGCTCTCCAGGCAGGAACCTGAGCCCCTATCTCATCTGAGACTCAGTCCTTAGATATACTCAGCATAGTACATTGAAGTAAAACCCTTGGGGAACCTCTACCTTTGTTGTGAGAGAAAACCTGCGTAGAGTATCAAGGCAAGGCAGTGATAAGTCTCAGAGGGCTGAGGAGTGGAAGAGAACATGGGGAACATGTTATCTGCAGGGGACAGATCTTGATGCTGCAGGGGCTTTCAGTAGGCTGGAGGACGCTGCACAGGATGTGTGCTGCAGCGCTTCAGTGCCCGAACAGAGGCCGCAGCTCAGACGATCCACAGTCTGAAGCAAGATTCCTTCCCACCCCCTTTGAGGTTTTTTTTAGGATTGATCCCCAGTGGCTTCACTTCAAATAGCACCACCACCCCCCCCCCTGCCTCCCCTTTAACAAACCAGCCCAGAGGCCAATCCCAGAGAGGCTCCAGCTCTGGTTGCTCCAAGTCCCGTAACTGCAGGAGGCTCAAATCGCTTCAGTGATGATGTTTGGCAGGTTATCTGGAGTGGCTTCTTTTCCAGGTGATATCTACATGCAGTAATGAATGAAGTCCCTTGACAAGTCTTTTCTTCTGAGGCAATGACAGGAATTGCTAGATTCCTCTGAGGTGCAAGTGTGCTTAATTCTGCTGCTACTGTGATCTGCTGGAGACCCGGGTGTTCAGCACATTCATAGGTGTTTTACAGCACTATTTCCTTGACTTTGTCACCCATCTTCTACACCCAGACTAAGGCTGGGCAGGTTTAAACTCCAGGTAAGTACGCAAACACCTAATTCTAAATATTAAGACATCTTTTCAAGTCGGGGACTAAAATTTTAGCTGGATTAAGAATGGAAACCATTTAGCCCGTGAAGCTAATATAACAGCGCTGATATAACAACGTGATCTAGTTGATGTCATGGATTTCTCAGTTCCTTTTAAACCACAAATTGACCACACAAAATTAACATGCCTATATGGTTTGTACAAATATCTATATCTAGTGACTGAGTTACAGGAAGTCTTATGTCTATTTTCAAACTTTTTGTCATTATTCCACTGAAGCTGTGTAACTGCTTATCTGTCTTTCTCTGATCATTCATATCGCACCTCTTTCTTGAAAGCATACCCTGTTTTGTAGGAGGACTTTGATATAACTGCAAGATGAAAAAAAAAAAAAAGGCAAATAAATGAGGCAACATGAATCCAGCAATTAAGAATAAAGCTCCAAACTTTATTCATTGACTTGAGTACAACAGTGATGCAGATTACAGTGGCACAGGAGTGCAGTATGTGCTGTTTGCAGTATGACAGTGGAAACACTAATTGTACAGAACAGCAACCCAGCTCAACTTTTCTTTATGCATACAAGCAGACTTACTCTACAGACAAGACATTGATTCACTCTTACAGAGACTCAGAAAGAGAGCTGTCTCACAGACGAATGGAAACACAGGGGCACCTCCCCAAAAGGCTGGTTTGTAACATGTGAAGGGAGGAGAAAAGAAAAAAAAATCCTATTGCCAAAATCTACTGATTTAAAGGAACATACATCTTTGAAAAATAAGTTTCGGCTTCCAAAGCTTAAAAAAAAAAAATCCCAGCTGTAAGGCCCCCTTACAGGAAGAGTTGTCAGCAACGACCAAGCTGCACTGCTTGGACAGGACTGGTTAGTAATGACATACAGAGCTCGTTGCTGCGGGCATACACATCAGTCAGAGACTTTCCTGGGCAAGCCAGCTGAGAAAGAGCCTGCTCCAAAGTGTGCGGATGTCAGTGAGAGGCTCCACTGATTTCAGTGGTTTTGCATCTGGAGGGAAGTGCTTTCTGAAGGGTGTTCAGTGACAAAAGCCCAGGCAAGTGTCCAGTGGGACCTGTCAAAGCACCTAAGGGAGCTAGAGACTCAGCCTGGTAAGGCACCGCTGGAATTCCCATAGCTGCTTCTGCTGCTTGAAATGCTCCATTTCCTAATGCCTAGGAGCAAGGTCCTGTGGGTCTCAGCTTTGCAAGTCCTAGGAGCAACATTTGTATTAACTGTGATGATCCTGACAAAACAGGTCATGTTTGCCTTCAGCCATCTCTTTTTACCTCAGAAGAAAGACCGCAATCATGTGGAAATACTACCTCTTCACATGGACAAGCATTTTTTAGGAAATCATTAGCAGAAATCTATTTCCCTGTTAGAAGCCCTTTGGGCAACAAATAATTTATTTTGCATACAGGCAAACAACATTAATGGCCAATTACATTCCCACTTCCTGCACTGATGCTTACATTAAAATTAATAATGCTAATTCTCTCCCTGCCAAATGCAGGCATCACACGGCTCCTGCCAGCAGAGTTGTCTGACTAAAAACTCTGTATCTTTGCATTGTGATAGATTTTTTTTTGTTCCTTATTTTATTAAGCATAAAAAAGGTGTGTGGGAGAAACCACAAGGCAAAAACTCACCAGCCAGAGCAGTCCTGCAACCCACAGTAATAAGGGTGTTTCTACATTAAAAGAGAAAGGCCCATTGTACTACTATCACAGTGCTCAGTAGCTCTCTCTAGCTCTTCATTACATAGCAATGGGGTAAAAACATACCACATATTGTCAAGAGCAGCCCTTGCTATGTGTCTACCCTGAAGACTACGCTGGACTCTAGCAGGTGTGTTGACAGGGCCAAAAAGTTTGGAAGGGCACGAACTGGACAGTGACGTGGGGCTAACTGAACGGGGAAGGGGGCTGTGGAGGCCAGCCCTAAGTGCCTCTCTGACATGGAAAGATGAGTAGCATTTCAGGACAGGTTAGTTGATATTCTTGTTTCCTGCACGTGTTTTATTGCATCATCATTATTACTGACTGCTATTTTTCACTGCCATAGGTAACTTCCAGGACATGGACATCCTCCTCCACAAATACATTCTGAAGGAAAGCAATGAATCAGGGTGGGGGAGAAAGGCCAGTTTCTGTTTAGTCTGCTCAACAAGGCTATGGCCCAAATATGCCAAGACCTCCTCCTAAGTCAGGATGAGCCAAGATAAGTCACTCCAAGAGCAGTTGAGGGGATGTTCATATTTTTTACCATTTTGGGGATTATTTTTTCTGTCACTTGTTGAACAGCTTCATACCATGAACTTCAATGTATAAGCTTATGAACTTCAGCTCATAAATTATGGGCTCCAAAAGACTTCCCTACAGTTTGAAATAGGTACCACAGGCTCATGCCTGTGTTTTCTTCTAATTCTGCTGAACAGCACCTTGACAAACCTTGGAGAAATCAAGATTATGACAGCCCTCCTCCTTCCCAGAACTTAACCCTTCTCCATTCATTGATATTACCTGAAACATGGTTTGCAGAAAGGGATTTCACTTCAAAATGTGTCTAATTTCAGTGTATCAAACTTTTACAAAAGAGATTCCTAATGACCTCCCTGGAACAGCGAGACATAGGAACTACACAGATGAGAAAGGATTTCCAAATTGCAACAGGGAAAGGGCAGCAAGCACTTCGGTGCTAGGCCCACAGATTTAGGACTATAGGACTTCGTAAGGAGAGGTGACATCTGTCTTAACTGCACTAAAAAAAGTGCTGTAAAACAGTAAAAGCACTACTGGAGCCACAGGGCTATCCTGTCCCACATACAGCTATTATAGTACTCCTAGTCTAACCCTTCACAGCACACTGCAGCTATGTCCACAATGCATCACAAACCATATATAATGAAAAGTTACTAACCAAACCGAAAACAAGTATGTTTCTGAGATGCCTCTAAAACCTGTCTTAAGTGATACCAGCATGAGATGATAACAAACAACGACAACAACAAAAAAGAGATTCTGAGAGCGAACTTCACAAGAACTTACTCTTCCAGTTGTAGAGAAAGCTTAGTAGGTTTGGGATAGGATACTGGCAGAGTTGAGATGCTACATTCGGCTTCCTGAACTGAGGCCACAATAGATCACATTGCTTCATTGAGAAATAGCGGACAGTTTAGTCATTTCCAAAACTGCTCTTCAAGTTGGCTTAATTCTGCTATCTTCAGAGATGATGAACAACACATTTATTTCAACATTATGTATTTCAACCTCTGACTCACAGTAGGCTGGAGCTTACACTAAGTTAAGGCACGGGTATAGACAGTATGGCCAGCTGTTCCCACTGTAACACAGAACAGTTCTCTACTTGTTCATATGGAAATAATCAGACCAGTATCTGAAAAGGGCATAAAACCCAGTAAGCCAAACCTCTGGGTTCTCCATTAATATGAAGACTACTGCACAGGGTACTACCCTTCCACCTAAGCTCTGCCAGGGATGGGTGGTTCACATATGCCTGAGGAGGCCTTTTAAATGATATCACATGGGGCTGACCTGGCACTTCCGTGATTTGGGAAGCTGACCCTGCCTTTTGCACACTCTTGTACATCACAGGTATCCACAAGCCCCTCAGATATAAGCCCATATGCAAGTGACAACCTTCATAACTTAATGACTTCTATCTATTCAACACTACACACTATAAATCCCAGGTTAACTACTCACATAATACCTCAACTCCAAATGGGGAGTGTGCGTGCTACAGGGGGCCCGTGTTTGAAAACCTGCATGTGTACATAATCCCATTTCACACGTGTGGTTATTTTGCTATGTTTTAACAGGTCTCTGCTCTTACATCACTCCCAAAGCTGAAAAGGGGAAAAACAAAACAAAAGCAATTAGTTTTCAGTCCTCTTGGCAATGATGTTCTGTTGATGTTCTGTTGACAGCACTAAGTTTGATGGGACTTTATCAGAAGCTCAAACACTTTGCAGGAGACAGAAGAACGTTAGCATGTAACTTAAGGCATATTCATAGAACCACAGAATGGCGTGGGTTGGAAGGGACCTTTAAATAGTCCAACCTCTGGCATGGCTCAAGGGAATACTGAAGAGGGGAATTACAAAGAACTGCCCAAGAAAATGCTACTTGATTGATACTAGGAAAATAATTCATTGCTCACAAGGAAAATTCTCCCTGGGGCTATATTTCTGTTCTTATTAGGTGGGAAGACCAGATGAAAGAACAGAAAATGTTGTGGTGACTACTGCTAACAGCCCACTGCAGAAAACAAGCACACACCCTGCGGCTGGCTGCAGCATCGTTTTTATGTAGAGGCGATCTCTTGGGGTACATCTACATGTAGGTGGTTGGGATAGTTAAGGGAAATTAACTATAGGCATGAAATGGAAGCTTAGGAAACCCTTCATGTTCTCAATCAAAAATAAAGCAGTATTAAGTCAAGTGCAGGGGGCTGTGAACTGACTGACTATGCTCCACACCAGTGAGATGTGAACTAGCAGTGGCCCAAAAATCAAGTGAGAGATTAATTATTTCTGCAGCATCTAAGCTGGCTTCTCTTCATTCCTCCCCAAGCTCCAATTGCAGTTTTAAATTCTCAGTTGATGAGGCAGATACAAATGACCCTGTCATCCTTCACAGGCTTGGAGGCTGGGTTCTCTTTTTATAATTTTTTTTTTTTTTTTTTTTTTTTTTTTGAGAGGAAACAAGCTTGTTTAGCCATTTCTGAAATGACTGGGTAGCCTATGCTGTGAGAAGTTCAGTAATAATCTAGAGATGCAAATATATAATCTAGACAGCAAAATGCAGACTGGCAGCTCACAACCTTGAGAGAGCAAGTCTTCAGATCAAAAAGGTTTACTGTCATTGTGACTTGGGCTAAAAGACCCATATTGCCTACTGTATTTGAGAGGCAGCAGCACAGTACTGTTTAAAGGATGTGGCCTGACAAAATTTGGAGAATTTTAATACTTTAAATGCGTTAAAACTCAGATGTTGATCTCAAAGTTAAGCTACACCTTGCAAGTGACAAACACTGAATTTCTGAGACTCCAGCACTCAAAAAGCCTGTGACTGTAAAACACTGCTGTTCTTTCAGCAGTGATTTGGTTTCAGCAGTCACTCAGAAATGCATCTCAAACTGCCAGTGCCCCTATAACATTCCCATCTACTTTTTGGTGTTCCTCTAAAACCCTTTCAGGTGCTTGTTCTGAAAAATGAAGTAAAACATGTTGAACTGATCCTTGCTGCAATCTCAGTAACGTCCAGAGTTTACTCACAACTCTGTGTGTCACAGTGTTCGCTGAGGACTTCTATTCAGTGCGGACTGTGATGCCAGATCTGCATGGTAGCACAATCTTCAGCTTGTCCCATTCCCTTAGCTCTAGGGTCGAGGAGCAGGTGCTGACCCCTTCTATCTGTCTTGCCTATAATGAATCTTCAACTAGAATTTTATCAAAGGAACCAGTCATCTGTTGCAACAGGACTTCCTAAACCAGCAAAGAAGAGGCAGGATTTGGGCCGTCCTGCGCATTTCATGGTGAAATGCCATTTGGTGATACAGAGAACTCAACACAGAGATACTGAATCTCACAACTACACAGGACTGTTTCCCCTTCCCGACTTCCAGATTTTAACACCTATGTCTCATATAACAGAAAATACAAAGGTTCTGATGTCTCCAGTGCCAAAAGTTTCTGCATTAAAAATGAAACCTTGATATTTTGACAGACACAGAACCTAAATGACCCTCTCCTGTATCAGGAGGTGGGCTCATTAGTGCAGTATGCATTGGCAGTTAAGCACCAAGGAAGAGAAAAAGCTGACCTTGCAGCCACAATGCATTCGTTCAATTACTTTGGTGCTCACGTCCTCCTCTGTATAGGACTTGCCCAGAAGCAGTTAAGTTATATACAGGCAGTTTTTTAAGCTGCAGCATATTGGAAGAAGACTGAAAGCAATACGGAGTTCAATGCAGCTCAGAAACTGTCTTGCATGATTACTCTGCCTTCAAAAACCAAGTCAGGCACAAAGGGAAATAAGAATAACCAAGGCTTGAGCTTTGATGCTTCAAGAGAGGAAAAAAAATTCTGTGCCCTCTTTTCCAAGCACAAGTGAAAAACTACATTAACTAAAGAGAGTGCTTGGCCCCATGCACTGTGCCATATTGACAACAGCAACTGCAATTTAATCAAAAAGCCTGTATTGGCAGAGCATGGCACCTTGATGGTACCTTTTAATTCATAGACAATCCTCCCTAAGAGGGATGAATTTGCGTGTTAGCTTGCAGAGAACCATCTTCCCTGCCGATGTAAAATCCTACAACTCCACTGCAGTCTGACGAGCTGCACTAGTAATTACTAGCAGGGAGTCTGTCCCGTTATCTCTGGATGCGAACCAGGGCACACTTAAAAACCCCCACATTTTCTCACTCTGTCACTCCCACCCCCATCCACCCATCTCCTGGACTAAATTACAAGAAAACTGACTCTTCTCCATCATTCCCATTACTTAAGTGATCTTAAATTATTCAAAGGACTGGTTAAGCTCCAGCCTTATTAATTCAAGCAGAAAGTGTGGAAGAGGGAAGACTGACAACAGACACAGCAATTCAATTCCTATATCCTAGCAAATATATACAAGTACAAGGAGTCCATTTTCCAAAAATTCCACTGGTATCAAGTGAGCAGAGTGCCCACCTTTGCAAATTGTGTCACACGAAGAAGATGCCATTTCAAAAGAGTGCCAGTTAACGAACAGATGTGTGAAAGACTTAATGTGACCATGTGAATAAGTTACAAAGGGCCTCTCCTTCACTACAGAGCATCTGTCTATCTTCCTTTCCATATATATACACATATATACACATACATACACGCACACACATAGATAGATGGATAGATATAAATACATGTGCGCACACACGCAAACACGCATACATATATATATATTTTTATATATATATATATATATATATATATATATATTCTTTTCCAGTTCTTGGAGTGGTTACAACTACTTTAGTCTACAAGGCATCCTAAGGGCACTTCCTGGCTCTAGCAAAAAGTCCATCATGTTGTGGAGAAAAGTAAAGGGAATATCGTTGAGGGAGAAGAACAGAACAGTTTCCTATCTTGTATAATATCATGTAACAGGTTGACACCTCTGAAAACTATCGCTGTTGTTTCATGTCTGAGCTTAGATAATTTCTCCCTATGTTCCAGGAGGGCAGATGTTCATCTTGTTCAATTGCTGTGTACAGAGGTGCCACTATGTGATTTTCCCTTTTTGGTGGATAAGTTGTTGCTTCCAAATAGTTAGGACTGTATGACACAATATCCTATGCAACATTTTTTGTTGGTTTGTTTAAAGGGAGATTAAAAGAGTTTTGCTTTTTTCTTCATGTCGTTGCGTCTCCAGAGAGGTAACTTGTCAAACTCCTGTATCGTCATGCCAAATATTTCTTGAAAAACTTCAGGTGCTAAGTGACGCTTTACAAAAAAAAAAAAAAAAGAGGGGAAAAAGAGGAGAAAAAGCAATGGTCAGTCAAAGCCAAAGAGACACAACAGGAGACAGGAGTGCCTTATGGATTTCACGTCACTGTGTAAGAGCCATTGCAGAAAATAATAACGCTTTTGCAATACACATATCCAAGTCCTCATGAATTCAGGTTTACAAAGGAAATCAAGAGAACTGTTTCAGTTGCTTAATAAGCAAGAGACAGAAAAATTATTTGTCTGAAGTCTCCCAACAAGCAGCAATAGATCAGAGAACAAAACTAGCTCCTGCATGCCCTGGGCCCAGGCTTTAGAAGCTGAAAGTGGGTTTCAGGAGAGCTTTGCAGAAGGGCTACAGGTTGACACATTATGTTCGAAGTTCTGAGAAGGAAAATGTCTGGCCAGACTCATTGTCCAGCACATTTCTCTGCTGCCAGTGAAACATATTTTGGTGATATCTTGTGCTCAAGTTACTTCTAGTTCAGCCACTTTAGGGTGCACTGGATGAGGAAAAGTGTCTCCCTGTGGCACTAATGTAACATAGTGTTGAATTCTCATTAGTGATAACATATCTACTAGTCTAAAAATGTGCATAAACGGTTACTTAACCAAACTTTTGTCAGCTCTTCCATTCATCTCCACAGAAGATTAACTAACTACAAACAGCTTAAAATCCTCAGCCTTCCACTGGGCTGCTTGTCTTTCTAATCCACAAAGTTGTAAACAATTTTTATTTGTTGGCAAAGATTTAAATTCTCATATTTTTGGATATCAGCCAGTCTAACTAACTCACAGGACTCATGGGGGAGTTAAAGAAAGCTAGACTTTTCATCCCCAACAATGGCTGACACTGACTCTTAGCTAAGAGATGATCCAAGATCAAAGTATTGCTCCATTCCAATATGGATCCTATGGCTACAAAACACTGCACCAATTTGGGGCTTTTTACCAATTTACAAGTATATAATTAATTGCTTGAAAACATAAAGGGGTTGTGGGAAGCTCAGTCCAAGAGCAGGGAGACAGAGATGTGGGACTCCTGGCTCAGCACTGTTCATGGAGATGCAGCTTCTTCCTCCCTGTCTGACTCCTCTTTCCCTGCTTAGTGATGAGAAATCTTCCCAGGCTAACAAGGACCCACACTTCAGTGTTTGAGCTCTCAAGTGTGCAACAACAAACAACTTCAGCAGGAAAGAGCATTTAGGAACTTGCTTCTCTTACCTCAAGCCTGGTTCTGTCTACATCTTTTAGTATTTTATTTCGCCCTCTGTTGGTCACCATGAGCATTTCATATGGAAAAATCTGTTAACAATGTATAAAAGGGGGAAAAAAGAGATGTATTTATATTCTAAAGCAGAAAGAACAGAATGTGTCTCATTTTCATAACCACACAAACATTTTTTTTCCTTGTCAAAGAAAATGACAGCTTTTTTTTCCCTTTTCTTTTTCTTCTAAAGTTGCATGAAAGACAAGACAATCTGGACATCATAAGAACTTATTTAGTATCAAACTGCCTCATATAGTGTAGAGCCACTACATATTTGCCCACCCTACTGATTTTTATGGTCCATATAATACATCAGCTGGCTTTGGTGAGACAGAGTCCTCTTTAGTCAATATACTCTCTCATCCATCAATGTATAAGTTTATTAAGGTAAATGTATTTGTCACTCATTGGTCTATCTGATATGGTTGCTGAAGCGTGGACAGCTCTAAGGAAACAGACAATTAAAAGATGAAACAGATGAAAGTACATAAAATAAAAGCAGCAACTCTGAATAAGCAAGATATTGATTCATGAGGACTGCTGCATTCAACAGAACTCATCACATGATTTTCTTCACCTTTTTGGACAGCTGAGGCATTTAAACAACCACCCACTGTCCTTGGGCTGTGCCATACATACATGGATCAAAGGAAATACTTTTGCAGACAGTTATCTTACGCACCTTCACCTGCTTCAGAAGAGTATGTGTCCAGCACACCTCCCATTAACATTTCCCTTGCTTTCCCTTTGCATTGCAAAGAATGTCCAGAATTTACAAATATTAGTAACTGGCCAATAATCAATTCTTGAATGCATAAATTATATTACTTTTCTTTTATGTGTACAGTCTCTTTGAAGTAAAATGTTTACTGTCAGTCAGTCTCAAATCAGTCTAGTCTAACAGAAACAATGCTGCTTAGAAAGGATTTCAGAAAACCATGTGCCTTAAAATCAGTTTCTGGAATCTTCCCTGGCAAATAAAACTCAGTTTTAGAACATTTTTCCTTTAGGAGACACTTCCATAAATGTCTGGAATGACTTAGGAGAGCTGATGTTCCATCAGACAGAGCCTCTCCATAGCTCTTCTCGTTGCATGTCTCTGCCGAGTAGGAAAACAGCATTCCCAGTGGGGTCTTTGTCCAACCCCTACTGAAGTCAATGAAGTTTTTCTGCAGATTTCAGTGGCAATTGACTCAGCCTTTACTGTTATTTATGGGTCTTGTTTTACTTGCCCACTGGGAACAAGAGTGAGACCACCAAACTCTCCCAGAGAGATAGCTGAGCTATTATCAAATGCTATTAATTCAATTATTTTAACATCAGACAAAATTCAACCTAATCAACTTTTGTGCCATACTAGGCAATTAAGTTCATTTCATTGTCAACAATTAACCCAATGAACTTTTCAGAAATATAATAAATAAGATTCAGGCATCAATGAACACACCACTGAGTTTATTATAAGTAATAATAATTTAAATAATGTGTGCTTACATACCAATTGTAAGATACGATTTTCAGGAGATTCTGACATTGTCACAATTATACAATTAAGTCTATACTTTGAATTACAATGTTTATGTTTGATACTGGAAATGGCTACCATGTACAGCATTATAGGAAAGGAAAATGTAACTTTTCATATTTAAACAGGCAGAGTTTAAATAAAGATCTATGATCATAAGTACATTTTATATTTAGATATTCACAACAAGGCATGTCTTAATCTGGGGTAGCAGGATGCACAAATTCTGTCCTTTCTGCAGAATCATTTGGTAAGATTTGGTGATTCTTAAGTTTGCTAATTTTCACTTTTCATATGTTTTGTGCTCATTTTGAGTTGGTTTCTTTTACTTTATCAGGGTTAAGTCAGTGTTGAACCACTGACATGAATAAAAATACTGCCAGTTCACACAGGCTGGCATCACCTTTATAAACATCAATAGAAAGTGACCTATTATCTAATGAAAATTCCCATAAATTTTACCACTAATAATACTGACAGAATTTGTCACCCAAAATAACATTCCAAATCACTGGGTGCATCAACAGCAGTGGTGGCTGTAAGAATTTCTATTGCACTGAAAGAGAAGTTATTTGGAATAAAAAGTAGGATCTCAGGAGCTGGGGATGCTTCCAATGTCTTATTTATATAATATATAAAAACATTTGTTAATATACATTACACTGGGGTCTCAGCTTATAAAGCTAGGGTTATTGCCTTGTACAGTTTGTCTGGAGGAGACTCGGAAGCACAAGTAGTAATCTGGTTTGCAAAACAAGCTCCTCAACTGCAGAAATGCTGATCCTTGTAACTTTGGCAAAATCATGATTTCTTGGAAGGTTCACCAGCAATAGAGAAAGTTACAAGATTTGAAACCCAGCCCTGTTTGAATCCCCTCTATACCTTATGTTAATTTTTTACTCAGACTTCTCTAAATATAGCTGCAAAAACATTTTAATTTATATCTTATATTCAGCTGACATTACCTCTTTCTCCAATATATCTCCTGAAAAATTTCTTTTATAGGGAATTCAACATCACTGAAAGGTGTCAGGCTAACAGTGCTGTGAGCTAAAGAACAGATCCAGACAGACCTGTAGGTGTCTAACTTACAATTTTAAACAAAGATCCATGTATTTCATTGATTTATAAATTAGTTCAGCCTCAAAAGTGAGCCACAATATACTGTGTCACTTTTCCAACCTGACAGATCTGAGACTTTCCCATTGAGTTTGGCCTGCTGTTTTGGTTAGTGGAAGCTTGACAGAAAACTAGCTACTGAGCAGCTTCAGTGTCTTCTTTTTGTCTCTAGAAAAGCCTCCTTCACCCAAGAAGCACACCTGAGCTGCCCTAAGCCTGCCTGAGTACTAACACCTGTAACAGGCTAAGTCCAGAACAAAGGGAGAGGTTTGGAACATAAGGAACAAGGACTGAGGTGAGGTAAAGAAAAACAAAGGAACTAACACATTTCCCATATTTTATCTGCATTTGACAGTCAAATCTTCACAGTCTTGAAGGAAAGTGAATAACATCTGCACTTGCCTTTGGCTCCAACATGTTAGGCATAGATACTCCTCTGTCCATTCTCATCCCGGGGACATGACCATCCGGAAGGGACTGCATCAGATACAGGTATACATCAGACACACAGGTTACACACACAGAGGGTAAAGGCACGCAAGCAGTGGTGAAAACAAAGGTGAATTTGCCCTGAGACTTCCTTCAAGTCTTAATATTTAGTCTTATCATACAGATCATTGCCATGGCTGTTTACTACTACACTGAGGCATGCAGAGAGATCCTTCAGTCCTCTCTGCCACCACAGCCTTCTGTCACTGCTAAGGCTGGCGACAGCTCCCCACTGAGCCAACCAACACCACTTCCCAGGTGGATCTGGGGGTCCCAAGAGAGTGGTGGGCCCTTTCTCACTGTATGTATTTTGAGCACAGTACATGGACAACTTCTGTCTCCTCTCATAATCTTATTCTCTTTCCAGTCATCATGATTTTGATACACTATTAATACAATTATCCAAGTAATTAAACCCTTTCTTAAATTGCCTTTTCCTATTGCAATTGTGCTGAGGAGCCAGCCAGACTAAAACCATTCTGGAAAAATCCCCACAGACAGTATTTGGAGCAAAAAGGTTTATATTTGCAAGCACACCTCTTAGAGGCTCATTTGTGATGGCAGCACTGTATAAAACTGTTAATCAGCCATCTTGTCTGGAGAGCAAATTCTAGGGTAAAAGTGAGGAGTTCAAGGCTCCTGGTGTGGGGGAAAATTGCCTCCAGAAGACACTTTTTATATGTCTCTGGGATTGGTACTAGAGAGGCTGGAAATAAATCCACCCTCAATTGTCCAGAGAGGACTATTACAGAAAACTCATATAAGGACAGTGGATTTTACAGAGCAAGTCACAGAACTGGTGTGAGCTGTCTCAACCCAGCTCTGGTAAGGTAACAAGGAGGATCTGAGGCTGTGCCTGGGTTTTGTTGGTAAGAATCTACATTGTTGATTATGCTTAAACATGCAGGAAAATCAGAGCTATTGTCTTAAGAAACCCCTCCCTGTAGCAGAAATTCAGACTTCAACAAGAAAGCAGATGCTTTTAGTTCTGTTGTCAGTTGATTGATGAAAACCCGTACTCTACCTGGAAATCTGAAAAGCAAAAGAGAAATCTCATCAGGTTTAGAGTATGGAAGAACACAAATCAGACACAATCTACCAGATAATCCTTGTGTCTTTTGGTCTACCTGATCTTTTCAAAATCGCACCCAATTCTCTAAGGTCAACAACCTTCCTACTTTTGGGCTTAGTTTGTAAAGAGTCAAACACTCCATTTCGAGCAGGCTTCTCATTCAGGAAACTTAAGTCACTTTGGAAATACTAAGAAACACAAAAGCACAATCAAGTGAACAAAGAGTCACCAAAATTCAAATGTGTAGAGCAGGATACATCTCACCTAACCTCTGCCATCAGATAGCTGTCTGGATTCCTTCACAGTCTATAGACACAGCACCAAGACGCCTGATTGTAGAGTATCTAAGATAGTTGGGATCTATCTCACTTTGTAGATAACTAGCCTCTCTCTCTTTCTCTCAGCTCAAACCACTTGAAAACATTAACTCTCAAAGTTTCATAACTTTCACAAATATTGTCAATTTTTATTAGGCAATGACTGATATCACATCCAGCTCAAAGTCATAATGAAAATCATGAGCAGCAATGGAGATTAGAAGGCATTATCCTCCTTTCTTCACTGTGGCATTCTTTCAGACTATGCAGTGGATGGTTATTTTCAGAGAAAAAAAAAAAAACTAACAAAACTCAGTACATATTCCTGCCAATATACGTTACCTGCTTTCCATTTGCACCAATACTAAAGCAGTCCCTTGGCATAAACAAGGATCAGCCCCACATAAGCAGATTTAGCAAAATAAACTCAGTTTTGATAGGTATTTTCAGAGTTTTGAGTTAATTGTTGAGATTATCAGAGGAAGTTAAAATGTACTGAGCAAATACAAAGTAATCATATTCACAACCTTAAAAAACCCGAGAACTGATTAAACATGTTCAGTAAAGAAGAGGCATGTTAAAAGGCTCCTCAGCCTTACCTCTAACACCACCACTCACATCCCCATAACTGTTGTACTGACCAAAATCTGTAGACACCGGCTGTAACAGGAAAAGAGGGACATGCACATAAATTCACAGTTCATGACTTCACAAGTGGCTTGGTATATGGGGAGAAATAAATTGCTTTAAGCCTTTTATTACCCCCTCAATTTTCACAACATTTCTTGCATTGCTTTCTTGCCTTTTTAACAAGGAGAAGGGACATTAGTTTTTGTCTGATTTCAGATGGTCTTATAAGAAATCTTGATCAAACTGGAAGTCCAATACAGTTAATATAGAAATATATACCATGGATAATTAAAGCCACATTTTGCTCCTCAAAATCACCATCTCCTTACCCTGTGAAGTCCATTTTTTCCATAGCCAGGGAGAGAAGAGGTTTTGGAGGCTGAAGCATGTGCTGTTGAACAAGGAAGAGAAAAATCTTGAAAAATCCCATAGAAACTCAAAACCAAGAACATTTGAGGAATCAACTAGCATTAAAAAACACAGATAAAAGGGCTAAGCATATACATAACCACCTGAGACACACTGACTTTAAGAAACTAACATCTCAGCCCCAAAATCATCACAACCTTCCATACATTCTGTAAGTTACATGCAGCTTTATCATGTCATGGTGGCAGGTCATCAAGAAGGGACACTGCGATTTTGCCAGGCTCAATTTTTTGCTACAAAGAAGAAAAGGCTATTAGTTTTGATCCTGTAACACTGTAATTGCCAGATGTTTTGGTACTGACTTCAACAGGAGAACAATCAGAATGGGCAGTGCTGAGTGAATTCAAACAAGTTTGAGAATTTGGCATTCTATTCAAAATTATAGTTATCCTGTACATGATGTGACACTTCTGAGAACACAACATGATTCAACAGAGCTCTGCGACTCCTACTTTCATCTGAAATGAAAGTGAAGTAAGGTATCTGGGCACATTCAACTTAGCATTTGCACCAACCTCAGAAATTGCACGAACAAGATAAAGACAATGTTGAAATATTAAGAGTTTCAAACATCAGTGTTTTCAAATACATATGTAAAGATAGATAAATAGTAAGACAGTCAGCATAATGATCAATAGGAGCTCTACAGTTAATACAGCTCCTTCAGACAAGATCCTCCGTATAAGAATGCAATTTTTTGTTTTTTAAATGTTATTTTTACCACAGAAGGGGAGGGAATGTAGAACTTGAGGCACTGTTGTTGCCAGCAATAAGAAGCTTTGGGAATGGCACCACTAATTCCACAAAAGGCAACTGATGACTGCACTGATTATCACTGCAAAGAAGGACGGACACACTCCCAATAAAGGAGTCCTCCAACCTGTGCTAAGGTTAATAAAAAAATCATAAACTCTGAGTTAAGCAGGTAGACTCTGGCCCCTTAAAAATTACAGATAGTGAGGGAGAGTCACAGACATTCTCTCCAAGACCGTAAATAGAGTCAACGCACTTATACAACAGGGAACAAGGAAATCCTAGTTTGCTTGGCAGCTACTCCAGTGGACATCTCCAAAGAGACTCATCGTGTCCCTTCTTGGCTTGAAGTACAGCTGCTGTGCTACAACAACTGGTGGATGAAGAAAGTGAAATAAAACACCCAAACACTTCTCTGGAGATCTGAGAAGGCCACAGATCTATTCCAAAATGTGCAATCAGGCCAGGAATCTAAGCCACCAATTAGCCAAAACTGACTTTTGTGCTTTTGCTTCAGAACAGAATACACCCAATCAAAATGTCAGCCAAGGCCAAAACCCTGGCTCTGTTTGGAATATGCATCCCCACTGGTAAACGTTGCAGACTTTCTGTCCCTGGAAGGAGTGACTGAACAGTGATAGGAAACACCAGTTTAAGCAAAGCGTGTTATTGTAATTTAATAACCCAGCCCATTAGCATGTGTGCGATGTAATAGTCACCGAGTATATTACCTCACTTCTTATCTATACTAGAAAATCTCTCTCCTCAAAACTGACTGAAAATTCTCAACCTCGTATTTCTTCTAATCAAAAAAACAACCACAACACTTCTCCCCTCATCAAAACCAGCTAATGAATTAGGCCACTCTTCCAGGGGAGAACACCACATATACATACATCAAGCCATCTTCCCAGTGTTCTCTCTCCTGGGAGACAGCTTGATATGTGTATGTGTGGTGTTCGTTATTTACTGTTCATTATTAGCTTTATTGCCTACAGGAATTACCTGGAGAATCATAACGACTGGCAGAAAGGGCTGACCTATCGCGACTCTCCTTTTCCATCTCTTCTTTGAGTATCAATTGTCCCAGACCAGAGTTGAGCTACAAATGGCAATTAGAAAAATATATCAATAAAATAAAGCTGATTGAGACATTAGTAGAAACTGCTTACAAAAAACAAAGGGGCACTTTTTGGATGGTGTTCAGAAACAGCATGAAGACGAGCTTATAACTACCTTCATGAGCTGCTCCTCCTGCAGCTGCCGCCGTCTCTGTAGCTCCTCATCATCTTCCTCTCTTCCACTTGATCTGCGTCTCATGTCAGCTCCTGCTTCCATAAAACCACAGTACAGAGAGAGCTTTGTGTATCAGTTCAGCCGCAGCTTGAAGATTTCAATGCCAGTTCAAAGTACTGGTCAGTTTGATTTACTGAATAAACAAAGCAGTATTTTCTTGCAGACTCAAAAGATTTTTTAAAAACTCACTCTTAATAAAACTCACGCAGATAGCCTGCCCTATGGCTGTCAGGCTTCTTATAAAATTAACAAGAAGTTAAACTGCATGTAAGTTCCAAACTAAGCAACAGTCCCGGATACAAAAGCCATGAATCAATGTAATAGAAAAAAGGGGGTTCAGATTGCTAGTTCTGGAAACATGGGGTTTAATGGCACCAGTAACTGCATCAGTGGCTGAAAACATAAACTCTGATTCATATTTATACTTTCATCTAGACTCAGAAAAGCAAATCTGAATTAACAGTTCAAATGGAAAATTAAACTACGTTGATCTTCTAAATGGACACTCATATTTGGAATAAACAAGGTGCTATTTTTATTCTAAAATGAAGCAAACTAATTTTGTCTACTGGATAAAGCTAAAATTGACACAGGTGTTCTACATTTTAGTTCCTTATTTTTTTATTGAATAATCTTTATTTTCTTGAACATTCCTAAGAAAAAGTCCAATTTAGACACCAGCACACTTCCACAAATACACAGAATATGATATTGCTGCAAGTATTGCTGCAAGCATTTAGACAGCAGTTGTATTTTTTTCTGCGCAGGCTATATCCTGATATAGTTATTCACCAACCCTATTTGAATGAAAACTAAATTTTGCAACTAAAGTATCAGAAGGTTTATATCAATTAAATTGATGCTAATATGGAGAGAGACAGAAAGTTCTGGTGAAAATATCTGTATTTAAATTATTTATTATTTTGTTTGGTGTGTCAGGCTTTTACAAGACTTTTCAGTACAACATCAGTATTAGTAATTTTTTGGACAGTATAGCTCATTCTAGCTCTGCAAGCAAAATATCACACACAGACAACAAACCAAAAAATGTGGGGCTTACAGGTCTGGATTTTTGTGATTAATCTTGTACAATGCCTTCTTATTTCTGAATAAAATACAGCCATGAGCACATCTTAATGTTCCAAACAGTCCTGTTTAGTTTCTCAGATGTAACAAAACCACCTGATAGCCAATATACAAAGCAGTTTTACTGGAAATAATTAAAAGTTGTCATCCACTGCCTAGGGACTGAGCTGAAAGCCAAAATTTCCAACAAAGGCTCCACCTCAGACATACGATACAATACTGCTGTATTTATCACAAGCACTGTCAGTAGAATTTCGAGTATGTAGATGTTATCACTATGACTGTAATGTTTGACAGGTTACATCCCATGTAAATGACATTTCCAAAAAATTGCCATTGCATATGCAGTCCTTTCAGTTGGTCACTGAGCTCTCCCAGCACTTCTATGAAAATCCTATTGTGGTGAAAACCATATAGAAACCTGAAACAGGCAACACCTTCAGTATTTCAGATGTGACTTCATAAATGAACTAGGCTAGATAGACTATTTTATGCTACAGGGGTCAATAAAAATTATCAGAGAAAAAACCAAACCAAACAAAAATTTAAAAATGATGATGTGCATGATTTAAATAAAATAAAATAAAGATACTTGTAGTGTTATAACACAGAAGAAAAATACAAAGTCTGTAGAAACAGTAGCTCTGAAAATCAGGACTTTTTTAGTCCATTAATTGTTCATTGCTTCTTGCCATGGAATTAGTCATGTGGTTGGAAGCAATCATATTTTCTGTGGAATATTTGCTATTAGCTTAGAACGAAAAGATTAAATAGACAATAACTGAAAGAAGTCAGGCTTGTGTGTGTGACACACCACATTTTTTAAGCTACTGCACCAGAATTCACCCAATTTGTCTGTGGGTTCATATCTGTGTGATCAATTCAAAAGTCCTTTAGCAAAACCTCTTTTAATCAGCGCTACTAAAATAGCTTTAAATTCACAGCCACTCAGAGGTCTCACCAGAAGAGCTGTACTTTGTGGTGAACCTGGAGTGGACACAATCTTCACTACCCATTTTTACAGCTCCAGTATTAATCTATTTTGCTTACCAGTACCTTTTAAGCCGTGTCGCTTGTATCTTTGTTTTTTTGCATACCTATGGCCGCAAGGGAGGGAGGACCTGGCCAGTGGTCTGTCTCAATCTTTGGTATCTCGTTGGGTGCTGGTGCATGAGCTGCTGGGAACTTGGAGGACTTGATGATATCCTCGGAGGACTTGCTCTGTGCTGCCAAAGCAGCTGCATCTAGATGGCAATCAGGGAACTTAGCTATGTAATAATGTGTATCAATATAAAGGTCTTTCTTATTTTGGCAAAATTGTATACTTTATAAGAATTTAATTTTCAAAAGCAAACATTTTCACGTTTTGCTTTTCTAATTCCAATTTTCAGCAAAGTAATGTCTTTCTCTTGCCAACAGGCTGGAATCAAACCTTCCTCTCCTCCCTCATCCTCACCCCCAAAAATAACCCCAAATCAGATATAGATTTTACTCGGGTTGCAGTGTTAGAATCATTAGGCAAGAGTGAGAAAATTCACTCTAACAGTATTTGCCAGTATCTCCTAAGGACAGCTGATTATTAATGAAGGTGAGACCAGATTTATGTACTGATCTGTATTCCCTCCAGGGCAAGAAAACAAATAGTTCAGACAAACAGCACTAATTTTAACTCTACTGATGCTAATTATTTCCTATGTTTCTGTCAAAAGCTGCAAAACAAACAAAAAAAAGACAGCTGAAACAAATATGTTTATTGAACCAGTGGATTTTTTCTGCTGCATGCCCTTGCTTATGAGCATGCAGTAGTAGTAAAAGCAGATGTGAATTTATTAATAAATACTAAACTCTATTCAGATCAACTTGGCAGGGACAGGAGTTGCAATGAAATGAACCTCACCAATAAAATACCTCAACAGTGGGGCATTCACTTAAAATTCCAGACTAAGCCAAAATCTCTTAAAAGCATATGAGGATGTGCATTACGGCTTTCACTTCTTGACATTAAAAAAATTCAATAGGATTCAGTTTACATTAAAACTAGCCTTAACTAGCTCTTATCTGCAAACTGTTAGCTCAAATAATTTTCTCTTATATGAAGCTACTGTATCACAAGCAAGGATTCTGGACTTTTTAATCTTTTTCTCTTTTTTTTTTTTTAAAAAAAACCCAAAACCACATCTGTTAATGAAGTGAAGCACTGTGTTGCTCATCCAACAGGTTCAGAGTAGTTTAGAAACATCAGTATGAGATATCATTGGGTATTCTGCGCATTTTATGAGTAGGAAAATCTAAGCATAATTGCAGGTATGGAGGAAGCTGGTCAGAGTTTACAAAAGCATGACTTCAAACAGTACTTACGTATTAGAATTGGTGATGTCAGTGGTTAAACATTCACATGTTAATGGGAGGTGAGGAGATACATTAAAGCCATAAAAATAAACAAAAATAATGTTAAGACTTTTTACAAAATGAGCATATGGCTTGAAACTTAAAAAAGAAAGAGAATAAACCCCTGATATAATACTGCAGCAGTGTTATTTGCAATGCTCACTCCTGCCTACAGAATGGTTTTCCTGGGCTTTCGTAATCATGGGCTCTCAGTCAGCTGTTCATCTAAACCCTGTAGTACTGCTAATTTGCTACTTAACCCTAAATATAGTTCACTGGATAAATGGTCTGCAAAGGGATGTAAACTCAAAGTCTTTAAAAAGTGGAGTCATCTGTCTTTCACAACATTACATAAAAATTATCTCTTACTCAAAGTTTACTGTTCACAACAGAAGGCAAGAGTGAACACACTCTGTTATAACCCTGACCTTGCTCTGCAGTAATAAGGACTGGCAAGGCAGTGGGCTTCTGCCACCATTTCAGACTTCCTGTAACAAGAAAAGAACTTGCTACACCAAAAAGATTAGAGCACTAACACTGCTGAACAACTCAGAATCCAAACACCTGGAGAAACAAGTACAGCATACTGCCTGAGCTGTATCACAGGGCTTGAGAATCAAATTAGCCCTGGCAGTGATAAGTCACCTACATTATCTTCAATGATCAAAGATTCCTATTTAAAGCCACAGGTACATTTGGAATTCCACTCTGATAATAACATTTCCATCTTTGCTGTTGAAATAAATTATTGTACTTTGTCTGTTTAGAAGAAGGATATTCCATGAAGTCCCTGTCAGAAACAGTTTGTTGTTAATCCATTGTAACATGATCAGTACCCGTGTTCTGAAAATATAAACTTAAAAGAAGTGAAACACAGGAAGGCATCATAACGCTGAAGAGGCAGCAAAATCCCAGTTAATGGCAATTTTGCCATTAATATCAACATGGCCAAGATTTAAACCATAAGATCCAAATGACAAACATGTTTTAAAACATAATCACGCAGCAGGACATGCAATAACAGTTGTTTCAAGCTTGGACTACTAATTTTTTCATGCTTACAAAGTAAAAATTGAATGCTTTTCACTAGTCTGTGTGCCTTTTAATTTAGTTGACACTCCAGTTTTGAAATAAAAAGGGAAAGATCATTTACCATGTTGTTTGTAGATGGGCGGTTTTCTGTAAATGTTGACACCTTGATCTGTGAAATTGAGAAACAGAAAAATGGGAATATGAAAACTACTTCATGTGCAGAACAACATAACTCCAGCACTAAAACAACAGACAGACCAAATCAAGGATGTAGCACAAGAAAAAGCCAGAAAGCTATTTCTAGTATTATACAAAATCAGATTATTCAAAGAAAAGAAAACATAAGAACAAGTGAAAAGTCAAAGACATGTGGTATGAAGTCCTTTGGAGCTGATTCGGTAACATGTGGATGCATCCAGTTCATGAACCATTCATTTTAAACATCCAGAAGATTATCAGTGGGATAAAAGTTAGAGCAGAAATGCAAACAAGCAAGACATTTCAATGGTGAAGATACAAGCCATTTGGGGAAAACCATCCCAAATAACTTATGTGGAAAATTGTGCTTCAGTCATAACAGCTCAATTTTCTTTCCAACTGACCGGCTGGATTGAGCAGAGGAGAATGCAGTGAGCCTACAATTCACTTTAAAATGCAGAGAAAAAAAATAGCTGCTTAATACACTGTTTTGAACAGTCAACAACAGCTACACTTCAGTGAATCAAAGGGACGCTTTGTGCAGTGTTAACTGATACGCTACTAATTCTCAAACCACGAGGATAGATCTTATTTCTTTTTTGTAATTATTTTATTGTAAGCACCATATTGCACGTTATCAATGTAAATGAGAATAAAAACACGCCCCTGAATTCTAATGCAGTAAATCTACAGCATATCTAAAAGATACCATATTCTTACAAATAATAATCTAAGACAGGAACCAGTTGGTTCTGAACTACCTTCCCACCCAAGCCAACACTTCATGTATTCGGCACAGCTACAAATACAAAAGTTAATCTAAAATCAGTGCTACAGTGCAAAAATCTGTCAAAATCTTATTCAAAGACCAAAATGAGCTACTGAGAACTAGAAAATTAATGTCAGAAACCCATTTTGCTGCTTCATACTGCCTGAAAAAAGTTTCCAGTGACATTAAAATGGAAGATGAAAAAGCATTTTAGAAATACATGCTGTGTATCGCAGGTCCAATTAAAGTGCTACAGGAGACAATTTAGCTTTTGGCGTTAAGGAAAGCTAACTCTAAAGATCTGTTGAAACAGAGGCAAATCTTACTCTGCAGAACCCTACTCCTTGACTAAACAGGCAAATTCATTGCACACAAAGACACTGAGGTATTACATTCTTGTTAGTGATCTGTTATGGCTACTTGATCCGTAAATAGGTATAAACATTACAAGGGTAGTCATGCAGTACTTTTGCGCACATCTACACCAGAAAGCTGTAAAGATGATAGGAACACAGCTCCTTCCGTGGCTGCACTGTGCCAGCTGAGGAGGATAGCTCTCCCACCATGCTAGGATTATTACCCAGAGCTATTCATGCAAGTGCGCTTTAGCTTACGCAAGTCAAAGTGAGCCAGGTTAGCTTCAGCAGTTAAAACAGCCTACCTTAGCCAAGCCAGGTCACACTGACTGAAAGGGAAGTTCCCGCAAACAGTTTATCTGCCAGATCTGAGGAAAGGAGGAAGAGCAGTAACCTCTGGCAGTGCGAAAGGATACTAGACTGAAGGGCACCTGAAGAATAACTGGATATAGTAAGGCTTTCTGCTAGCACTGATGCGGTCAGAAGATGTATCTCCACAACCCTAGGCATATGCAAACTCATCCCATCAAAATCCAAGACAGATGATCTTCTCAGAGGCTGGAAGAACTGGGCGGCTCACTTCAAAACAGAGAATGCCCTTTATAGAGAGGACATCCTAAGGCATACATCCTTGTGGATCTGCAGGTCCACAAGCCATTGCACAGATCAAGCAAAGACACATCCTCATCTATTTTTTTAAAAAAGGTAACACTAAACTAGAACTGTTGGGTTCAGGACCGAAACAAGTCACAACAATCTGAATTAACAACACACTTAATGGCTCACTGGTCAACTCTTTTCTGCATGTGAATCAAAACCAACTCCTCCAAAGTTAGCAGAGTTATGCTGGTGCTCAGCTGGTGCAACTGGGAGGAAAATCAAGCCCTATATAACTCATATTCAGCTCACAGGCCATCAACAGACCCTTGTAAACCAAGGCATTCTAACAGTGAAACACCTGACCAACAGAATAGGTAAAAATCACAATGAACCCCCCCCACATCTTAACACACTACTCCTCTCAGAAAGCGCAGTTCCAAACCCTGAGGGTGCACTCCATGGTAAACAGCGTGAAACAATGGAGACAAGACAAAAGTTACAAAAGCTACATTCTACACTGTGACAGGACACCGAGACACATACAGTGCCAGCTCCTACCTGGAACATGGAAATGTTTAGGGGCCTGAGCGTAAGTTGGAGTGAGAGGGCGGCTGTCGGGCCGATAGGGGACAGGGGAGTTCCGACCGCTGGACGGCTCATTGCCTCCAATGAAAGAATGGAGAAAACAAAATGAGAAGAGGGAGAGCAATAAAAAAAAGCAAGCCCAATCAAACCCAAACAAAACTGGTGGAATCAAAACCTCTAGGGAGAAAAGAAGTTGAACCAAAAATATAAACACAAACAATAACAAGAACTGGTAGCCCTGGTGACTTTTTTCCCCTGATATTCCTGCAGAGACAAAAATTCATGTTCAGGCTGGAGTTGAGGTTTGAGCAGCTCAGACTCATTCTGTCGGCATGCAGGCAGGAGCTGTGTGCTCGTAGCTGGTGATTAGATGGGCAGCGTGGAAAAAAAGAATGGAAGGTTACTTGGCAGTGATTTAGTACGGAGATCGATATTTGGAGTTAAAAGTTGCAGACACAAAGCATAATAGTTGATATGCAAACCCAAAATGAAACCAACTCCCAAGCAGGTAGAAGCAGATGCTGGCAGTTACTACAGTTCCCTAAACCAAAAGCATACAGAAGCTAGAGATGGAAAATAGTGGTTAGGTCACTTGGCCCATATCAAAAGGCGTAACTGTTCCTTACACACTCTTTCACTGGTTTAGCTCTCTGGTAGGAAATTTTCGATATGACAAAATAATTTGTTAAGTAATGCATCCCAACTGCTGGCTGTACCCATATTGCTGGTGTCACCCCAAATCTCTGTCAATGCCAAATTTGGCTCTGGTGACAATACTTCACCACTGCTGATTTAGCAAATCTGAATCTAATGTCTAAAAACTTAGGATCCATTTTGCACACATGGTTTGTTCCATTTGTAGGATTACTCTCACCAGGACTATTTCTTTGCCTCCTAACAATCCACCACAGCAATTCAATGGCCCTGAAAGTTCCTGAGCCTGTCAGGGCAAGAGGACTGTTGCAGAACCATGCTGACTGATTCCTAAGTATCAAGACATAACAGCCAGATATCCAAATGCACAACTGTGTGTGTACGATAAAAAGAATGGTGCTGCCTTTTACTTTGTGCCATTCTTCACACTAATGCAAACTTGCACAAGCAAAACTGTCCACATGGATGCTTATTTTACACAGGTATGAGTGACCACAATGGTGAAAAGTACGGCAGCATCAAATCCCTTCCATCCTTCAGGTAGACACAAAGGCTAGGAAAAAAAAAAAAAAAAAAGAGGGGTGGACAAGTACAGGAGGGCTGTAAAACACAACAAAAAAGAAACTGCAGTCCTCCTTTCAGCTACAGGTTTCCTATGTCCCCTTAGAGGACCCAAAACCTTGGACTTGGCAGAGATTTATTTATTTGGTGCAGGTGGGGGGGGAAGGAAAAAGGAATTTTTCTTTACACTTCACACAGAAGCTCCTCTTTTACTTGAACAGTCATCTGTCAATCTAAAAGGCACCAAAAGGGAGAAAAAAAAAAAAGGACTCTTTAAAACCTTGCTGAGAGATGTGCCAGCAGAAGCCTTTGCCAGTATACAAGTTAATCCATCTGCATGTTTTAAAAATTACATGCACATTTCAGGGGGCTTGGCTGTACAAAATTTTTCCAGAAGAATTCATGTGCAAAATTCTATAGGGAGCACTTGGATATTTCATGATGTTCTTTCTGTAAATGAAATGATGCTCTTTTCTGTAAATTACATGATGTTCTTTCAACCACAAGAGTTGATGGTGGTTCTCTATTTTGGGCGTAGCGATGTTGAGCTTCTGGCCAGGTAACAGTAATTGCTGGGTCTCCTAACACCAGAAAGCAGTATGAATGATGTGTTAAAACTATATTGTCTTAATGTATGTTCCTATACTTGTCAATTCCAATAGTGTTCTACTTGTCCTGCCTTTGAGATATTGTGATGGTGAAACACCTAACTTAAGCTGATATTACTTATGTCTTTTTTTTCTATTAAGAAATTATGAGTTACTCTTCAATAAAGCCATTGTCTTATAGGGAAAAAAAAATATCAGTACTGAGATGGCCTCAAGATAGAGTTAATTCTAAAATTTATAACCTTTATAGAGACATGTCATTCTGACTTCTGCCTCCATTAGCACTTAGTATATTCAATGAAAGAGAAGAATCAAAAGTGATTTATTGAACTGTGGACTTGTCACAACAGAAGAGTCACAAGTCCATTTTACCGGTTGGGAATTGGTAGTCAAAATGAGGGCACATTCAATTTACAATGCCTCTATCACCAACACTACAAATACAGGGAAGAAACCCCACTTGTACCCCCTTCTTTGTCTCAACTAGACACAACTAAATATGCTCACATCCATAAATATACGCTGGCTAATCTTGGATCTGGTACACAGATAATTTCTTTAGAGAGAACTGGTGATGTTGTATAATGCATACAGCACCAGGCAGATAATTAGTGGGCATCATCCTTCACATGGTGCTTTACTGATGTCTCTGTTGGCTTATATTTCCTGGGGTTCTTGTGCAGTCTCTCTCTTCGTAATGATTCCTACAAGTACTGACAAATGACTCTCCTTTACACTTTCTAGGATGGCAGTCTCATTACTTCCAACCACTGCAGGAGGGAATGGTACATCTACTTAGATTCTCATTAGATCATCCCTGAGGAGCCCAGTCTGATAACAAGGCTTAAGTGCTTCAAATGCAGCTGTAAAATCACCCACAATTTATGAAACCAGTGCCAACATCTGTGGAATGTGCACATGCACACAGGAAAGCAGAGCTGCTAGCCTGCCTGCACCTGCCTTCCAGGGCTTCATCGCCGGCCTGCTTGCAGCTTTACATAAAAGCAGGAGCTGTGCATGCTCTGAATTTGGGTTCCTTGCTGCTGTGCCTGCACATGAGAGGCTCTCTTACTATCTCAGATATGCCGTAACTAGTGTTAACTCCACTAAGCAACAAGAGCACTACAGTTCGCCAACACTATAGGAAAAACTACTTCCCACATCCCTGGCATGAGGTTGAATATGTGTGGGTGTAGGTGGGTGGGGGATGTTAAGAGATAATGAAGTAAGTTTAAAATAAAAATCAATCACTTGAGCACAGCAGCCTAGAAGTGAAATTCAGAGGCTTTTTTTTCCTTCGTTCTGTTTGCTCCATCAGGTGGTTCCCATTTTCTGCAGCTCAATTTGTTAAGCAGGTTCCCCTAGCAGTCAGGAATATAATTGCTTGCCTACCCATAGCAGAGTGTAATACAGGTTCCTGCTGCCTTCTAAAGTGTTCACCACTGGGCTCACTGTGTGATTCACAAGCTAAGTTCACAGAATCAGGCCAAAAAGCCCATATGCAACCAACACTAAGCCTTCTGTCAACTTGCAACCAACGCTGAGCCTTCTGCCCACTTGCAATTTAGTTGCTCTACTTTGAAATAGAAAAAAGGGCTCAACACCACCTGAAATACTGTCCTATTCAGGTTTTGTCAAACTATCATTCATCATCTTGCCCAGATGTGTAGCCCTTATTTCCCACACAAAACTGAAAGTCATGAAAAAGCCAAAGCACGGCTGTTTTCCAGAGCAGAGCTTTAAGCTGCATCTCCAAAACCCTGGAAATAGTTATCAGTCACAGAGTACATTTGATTTCTGAGACCTGCCTCAGGGAAGGAAAGGAGGAATCTATGAAAACCAAGGCCCAAATTCACCATGAAGGTGGGCAGATTCTTTATGGGAAGGTCTGTGAGCAAAGGAATACACATTAATTGGAGCTCTTTATGCAGAAATCTTATGGGGGCTTTGCAATATTCTTGAATGCCTCTGAAAAATTCTAGGCATGTGAGATGAAATCCTGGTTCTCAATGAGAGTTTTGTCTTTGATTTCAGTAGGGTCAGGGTTTCTTTCATTCATGGACTTGTTTTGATTCTTTCATAGCAAAGACAGTACTTTATTGAGACAAGACCAAATCCAATAGAGTCCAAACGAGATTAAATGAAGCCTAAGCTGATGCATATTACACCCTCTTCCAGCTCATTCAATATAAACATTACATCAACAAACTTTCACTAAGACTTTCTGAGGCATATTTAGCCACTTTGCTCCTCAAAGTTTACATCTGGCCATGTCTACAAGGCTTGAGCATTACACTTCTTTAAGCATTATGTTGTGTGAAGACACACTGGAACTGGCCTAAATGTCTACTTTTCTGGCTTGATGATACAAAATTAACACAGGCATAACATGTTGGATGTCACTTTTATTATGACTATCCTGACTGGAAATTATGCCCCTTTACCAACCAAAGCAGTTTTGGCATGATCCATATTCTCTGACTCCTAAAGGAAAAAATCCCCAAAACTATAGCTTTATGAAATCTTTCTTATAAACTGACACCCAGTTCACCTTCCTGCTAAAAGTACAAGTGCTTTCAGAAAGGCTGCTCAAGTAACAAGGAGATCAGGTGATGCCTTTTCTTTGAATCACTGCAAATGTATCTATCACATCTAATTAACCCCTACAGTGCTATAGTTCTCATTTGAGATTTATTCACAAGGGTCTAATTCCCTAGTACACACAGAAATGCCACTCTCAAGGTAAAATAATGTATTTTTTTAAACTTTGAAAACAGACACTTAGAATACCCAAGGCAAACTCCTACAGATAAGAATATCAGGGAGTTGCAGTAGATGCATCCCATAATCTTTCTTTTCTGCTGCACAGATGTATAAAGGGAGTATTTGGACACACATGGTATGCAAGGAGGACAAATGAAGAACCACGTGGGAAACCCAGATCAATCTCATCAGTTGATAACAAAATATCTAGTTCTAAACATGAAGTAGTGTGAAGAGGACACACAATACAGTGCATGTGGACTTCAACCAACACTACTTGAATGTTAAAAAAACCCCACACCACCCTGTCAATCATACACTGGGCAAGCTATATTAGCTCTTCCTATGACAACACTTACACCTACATGTTGTAACTCTAGAGATGTTTATTTAACAAAAAATATTACCAATCCTTATCACCTTGCCTTTCTTTAAATGCAGGTGCACTGTTAATACACCTGTGCATAGATATACTACATGTCTTTTCAGAGT